TTAACCAGTTAACCTCTCACAACTGTTCACCCCCTGTGAACTAAAGCACTTTTTACAATTCTGCCTTGGACCTGTTTATTCAGAGATAACTTTGTCATTACTTAATATAGCAATGTAATACATACTGGATTATTGTTTTTAGAAGGAAAAAGAAGGCTATTTTTGTAATTGTCTTGCAACAAATATTTTTTTTGCCAGACAATTTAAACAAAACAAAACACAATTAAATAGTGTTACTGCAACAAAAGTGCACATTCTTTCTTTTTTTCCTTTAGCTCCATGTCACTGGGCATTTTAATAATGCTGGGATGTCGGTGTTCCCAGCTTGCCTGCATTTAGGTTTTTGCAGTACATGCACGTTTTGGGTTAGCTGGATGTTTTTAAAACGCACCTCCTCCCTTGTCTCGGTAGGCACAAGCGTCACGGCCCCCCTCCGGATCCCTGCAACCCCCTTCCCCATCACATGCCCCTGCTCCCCGCACGTAGCCCACCGAAAGTTGTGTGCTGGGCGCCAGGGAGCCGCCTCCTGCTGTGGCCATCCCCACACCTCAATGCCAGGGTGGCCGTTGCCTTGCAACCTGTGGAGTGTCCCTGCATCTGGAGATAAATACCGGATGCAGGACCCTGGCATGACAACGCGACGCCTCTGCACTCACTCGAAGACAAGCTACGTGCGTCCCTGTGCGCAGAGAGGTCCTGTGCTGCATGGCAACCCAATGCAGCCGTTGCCTCTCCAACCTGGGAGTGTCCTGCCAGATAAATACCAGCAGGACCCTGGCATGATGTGTCTCCCCTCTGCTCACTCATGCAAGCTAGTGTGACTGTGAGAGGTCCGGTGCTGCAGCCAGACCTGCAGCCCTCTCCCTCCCAGGACACCCGGACTTAACCATTGCCTGCCAGTCTGCTGCCCTGTTTGTGCCACCGGACTTACCCATTGCCTGCCAGTCTGCCGCCCTGTTGTGTGACACCCGGACTTACCCATTGCCTGCCAGTCTGCCGCCCTGTTGTGTGACACCCGGACTAACCCATTGCCTGCCAGTCTGCCGCCCTGTTGTGTGACACCCGACTTACCCATTGCCTGCCAGTCTGCTGCCCTGTTGTGTGCCACTGGACTTACCCATTGCCTGCCAGTCTGCCACCCTGTTGTGCGACACCCGGACTTACCCATTGCCTGCCAGTCTGCCTGCCCTGTTGTGTGCCACTGGACTTACCCATTGCCTGCCAGTCTGCCACCCTGTTGTGTGCCACCGGACTTACCCATGGCCTGCCAGTCTGCCACCCTGTTTGTGCGACACTGGACTTACCCATTGCCTGCCAGTCTGCTGCCCTGTTGTGTGACACTGGACTTACCCATTGCCTGCCAGTCTGCCACCCAGACTTATCCATTAATTGCCAGTCTGCCACCCTGTTGTGTGACACCCAGATTTACCCATTGCCTGCCAGTCTGCCGCCCTATTGTGTGCCACCCGGACTTCCCCATTGCCTGCCAGTCTGCCGCCCTGTTGTGTGCCACCCTGACTTTACCCATTGCCTGCCAGTCTGCTGCCCTGTGGTGCGCCACTCGGACTTTACCCATTGTCTGGTAGTCTGCCACCCTGTTGTGGGCCTAGATGGTGCTATGGACTGACCCCTCCTTTTTGCCTACCAGAACTCGGTGAACCTTGTTGTGTGTCCCACCCTGTGGTGTGGACTTAACTTTTGTTTTGCCAAAACCTTGCTTTACTTATCGTGCGCCCTCCAAATCACTCAGTAAAAAGCCTTGTGTGCCTCACTGCTCTCCGCGTGTGTTCTGTCCCACCTACACCTCTGTCACAAAAGCATTACAAAGTTATTTGCAAATAAAATAGAGTTTTTTTTTTTCTTTCAATTTTGTGCTTATTTTTACTATGAGTTATTTTAACTATGAAATGTGTAAATATACACTCACCGGCCACTTTATTAGGTACACCTATTCACTTGCTTGATAACACAAATTGCTAATCAGCCAATCACATGGCAGCAACAGCATTTAGGCCTCTAGATGTGGTGAAGACAACTTGCTGAAGTTCAAACCGAGAATTAGAATGAGAACGAAAGGGAATTTAAGTGACTTTGAACGTTGCATGGTTGTTGGTGCCAGACTGGCTGGTCTGAGTATTTCCAAAACTGCTGATCTACTGGGATTTTCATGCACAGCCATCTCTAGGGTTTACAGAGAATGGTCTGAAAAAGAAAATATCCAGTGAATGGCAGTTGTGTGAATGAAAATGCTTTGTTGATGTCAGAAGTCAGAGGAGAATGGGCAGACTGGTTCAGCTACAACATTCAGATGGTAGGGTCAGAATTTGGCGTAAATAACATGAAAGCATTGATCCATCCTGCCTTGTATCAACAGTACAGGCTGGTGGTGGTGGTGTAATGGTGTGGGGGATATTTTCTTGGGACTAGCAAGGTGTACCTAATCAAGTGGCTGGTAAGTGTATGTTAAATTTGTGAAAATATTAGCAAACAATAACAAATAAAAAAAGTTTAACTATTAATGGTTAATAAAATAGAAATTAACAAAAAAAAATCTGCAGGAAAATAAATTGAATGCATAAGGAGAATAAAGAGTTCATTAGTGCTGATTATCGCTTAGATCTGCAGATGAATGAACAGAATGAAACAAAAGTAACAACATTTTACATTGTATCTTTCTGTAGCACCTGGGCAAGTGGTAGGGCTCATGTACACTGCAGTTGCTAAACTGAAGTTTAGGAGCAGTTGTGTGTTTTTTTCAGCAGCCCCTGGACTCTCCTTTAAGTTTTCCTATGTGTCCATGTACACATAGTTGTTTACAGTAGTTTACAGGCAGTTGAGGTTACAGTCATTTTTGTGAAAGCACAAAAATCGCGTTCAGGAGTAGAGTTTACCGGTGTTTCAAACGCCAAACGCTTGTAAATGCGTTTATGCACATTTGCGTTTAGACACGTTTTTGGGCTGGTCCATATCCAGATGCTGTCCTTTTTTCTTCATCAAAAATGCATGCACAGCATTTTCCATGTATTCAAATGGACCTAGTACAGCAGTGCAGTCAGCTCCAGGTTTCACATGAAGGACAAAATGGTAGAACGTGCTGCATTATTTCTGCACAGATCTGTACTGGAACACATCAAAACACAGGAAAAAAGCACAAGGAGTGTTGTGTGCAGTCCAGAATGCATCCGGAGGCACTAGTTAGCTCCTCCCACAGTGCCAAGCATGTTTCACGAGCCACTTTTGCTACATTTGCAACACCCATCAGAAAGTAGTGCCCTCTCTGCTTTTGCTCAATCTATTTCTCACAAAATGTCTTAAATAGTTATTTACTATTTTTCAGTGCATTCTGGGCATTTGGGAGGGCCTCCAGAGGTTATCTTTTAAAATTGCTTCTGAACGCAAATGCAGCTAAACGCGCATAAACGTGGTATGTAAATGCAGCTAAACTGAAGTTTTTACCCTACGTTTTCTAGCAGGCAGTTTCCAGCATTCAGAAAAGTTTTTCAAATGAGCCTTTACTTATAAACATTGTCAAAAAAATTTTTTTTTCTTTGTTTTTTTTTTTTTTTTTTTTTACAGCTGCAGCTTCTCAGACCTTCTTCAATCCCAACTTTGATTAATCAGAGTCAAATTGCTGTGTACTGGGGGAAGCTGGGCAGAAGGACTGGACGTGCTACATACGTCCTGTGCACAATGATGACCTGATGTCTGGAACTATATAAATGGTTAAAGCAGAGTTACACCCAAAAGGGGAAGTTCCCCTTTAAAGATTGGTCCCCCGCTCCCCATTAAGGATTGGCACCTTTGGAGAGCCTAGGCCAGGGGTAGGCAACCTGCGGCTCTCTAGCTGTTGTGGAAATACATTCCCCATGAGGCATTGCAACATTACAAAACTGACAGTTACAGCTATGACTTGCAGAGGCATTATGGAACTTGTAGTCCTGCAACAGCTGGAAAGCCGCAGGTTGCCAGCCCCTGGCCTAGACAATTGGAAGCGGAAGTTGTCCTCCTACACTCCCTTCCCATAGTCTTCTGGGGCACGACAGGTCCCAGAAGATTACTGGGCCATTCAGGAAGCACAGCTCTACTCACGCATGCGCACTGGGCACCTGATTGTGAAGCCGAAGCTGTCACAGCTGGGTGCCCACACTGACGATGCTGGCGAAATGGTCCCAAAGATGTCTATCGGGATGTGTTGCTCAGGCATGGCCAGACAGCGAAGGTTTGCAGAGATGAATTGTAGACAATTAAAGCCAAAGCCACTGGATTGAGGCAAGTATGCTTCTGTGGAAGGAAGGGTGGTCAGATTATGTTTGGGGAAAGGGCTAAAAAGGATAGGTGAACTTTTTTTTAAAATGCAGTTATCCTTAAGGGCCGGTTCACACTATAGAAACTCAGTCCAGATGCATTCCATGCGCATGCGTTTTTACATGGGTGTTTTTGATGTGTTTTTAGTGAATTCCAGTGCGTTTTTGACACATTCTAGTGCGTTTTTTATGCATTTCATAAGTATGCTTCTGTGGAAGGAAGGGTGGTCAGGTTATGTTTGGGGAAAGGGCTATAAAGGATAGGTGAACTTTGTTTTAAAGTACAGTTATCCTTAAGGGCCGGTTCACACTATAGAAACGAGGTCCAGATGCTTTCCATGCGATCTTGCATGCACATTGTTTACGTGTTTTTGTAACATTCTGGTGCATTTCTGACACATTCTAGTGCAGGGCTTAAAACAGGGGTCCGCAAACTTTTTAAACAGGGGGCCAATTCACTGTCCCTCAGACCGTTGGAGGGCCGGACTATAGTTAAAAAAAAAAAAAAAAAAAAAAAAAGTATGAACAAATGCGGACATAGTACAGGGGATGACCAGAGACTGCGGACACAGTACAGGAGATGACCAGAGACTGCGGACACAGTACAGGAGATGACCAGAGACTGCGGACACAGTACAGGAGATGACCAGAGACTGCGGACACAGTACAGGAGATGACCAGAGACTGCGGACACAGTACAGGAGATGACCAGAGACTGCGGACACAGTACAGGAGATGACCAGAGACTGCGGACACAGTACAGGAGATGACCAGAGACTGCGGACACAGTACAGGAGATGACCAGAGACTGCGGACACAGTACAGGAGATGACCAGAGACTGCGGACACAGTACAGGAGATGACCAGAGACTGCAGACACAGTACAGGAGATGACCAGAGACTGCGGACACAGTACAGGAGATGACCAGAGACTGCAGACACAGTACAGACAGGAGATGACCAGAGACTGCGGACACAGTACAGGAGATGACCAGAGACTGCGGACACAGTACAGGAGATGACCAGAGACTGCGGACACAGTACAGGGGATGAGCAGAGACTGCGGACACTGTACAGGGGATGAGCAGAGACTGCAGACACAGTACAGGGGGATGACCAGAGACTGCGGACATAGTACAGGAGATGACCAGAGACTGCGGAAACAGTACAGGAGATGACCAGAGACTGCGGAAACAGTACAGGAGTTGACCAGAGACTGCGGACACAGTACAGGGGATGGCCAGAGACTGCGGACACAGTACAGGGGATGAGCAGAGACTGCGGACACTGTACAGGGGATGACCAGAAACTGCAAACATAGTACATGAGATGATCAGAGACTGCAGTCATGGTACAGGAGATGACCAGAGACTGCGGACACAGTACAGGAGATGACCAGAGACTGCGGACACAGTACAGGAGATGACCAGAGACTGCAGACATAGTACAGGAGATGACCAGAGACTGCAGACATAGTACAGGAGATGACCAGAGACTGCGGACATACAACGGTGGCGGGAATACTGGGCCAGCCGCTCCATAAGATGCACAGACATTTCCCCCCAAGTGTGTCTTATGGAGCGAAATAGTGCCCCATCATTGGTGTCAGTGGGAAGAAACGTGCCCCATCATTGGTGTCAGTGGGAGGAATAGTGCCCCATCATTGGTGTCAGTGGGAGGAATAGTGCCCCATCATTGGTGTCAGTGGGAGGAATAGTGCCCCATCATTGGTGTCAGTGGGAAGAATCGTGCCAATCATTGGTGTCAGTGGGAAGAATCGCTCCCCATCATTGGTGTCAGTGGGAAGAAACGTGCCCCATCATTGGTGTCAGTGGGAAGAAACGTGCCCCATCATTGGTGTCAGTGGGAAGAAACGTGCCCCATCATTGGTGTCAGTTGGAAGAAACGTGCCCCATCATTGGTGTCAGTGGGAAGAAACGTGCCCCATCATTGGTGTCAGTGGGAAGAAACGTGCCCCATCATTGGTGTCAGTGGGAAGAAACGTGCCCCATCATTGGTGTCAGTGGGAAGAAACGTGCCCCATCATTGGTGTCAGTGGGAAGAAACGTGCCCCATCATTGGTGTCAGTGGGAAGAAACGTGCCCAATCATTGGTGTCAGTGGGAAGAAACGTGCCACATCATTGGTGTCAGTGGGAGGAATCGTGCCCCATCATTGGTGTCAGTGGGAGGAATCGTGCCCCATCATGGTGTCAGTGGGAAGAATCGTGCCCCATCATTGGTGTCAGTGTGGGGAGGAATAGTGCCCCATCATTGGTGTCAGTGAGGGGAGGAATAGTGCCCCATCATTGGTGTCAGTGAGGGGAGGAATAGTGCCCCATCATTGGTGTCAGTGAGGGGAGGAATAGTGCCCCATCAGTGTCAGTGGGGGGAGGAATAGTGCCCCATCGTTGGTGTCAGTGTGGGGGGGGGAATAGTGCCCCGTCATTGGTGTCAGTGGGGGAAGGGGATAGTGTCCCAACATTGGTGTCAGTGGGAGGAATAGTGTCCCATCATTGGTGTCAGTGGGAGGAATAGTGTCCCATCATTGTTGTCAGTGGGAAGAATAGTGCCCCATCTTTGGTGTCAGTGGGAGGAATAGTACATCATTGGTGTCAGTGGGAGGAATAGTACGTCATTGGTGTCAGTGGGGGGGAATAGTTCCCCGTAATTGGTGTCAGTGGGGGGGGGGGGATAGTGCCCTGTCATTGGTGTCAGTGGGGGGGGATAGTGTCCCAAATTGGTGTCAGTGGGAGGAATAGTACCCCATCATTGGTGTCAGTGCGGGATGGAATAGTGCCCGATCGTTGGTGTGTCAGTGGGGGGAGGAATAGTGTTCCATCGTTGGTGTCAGTGGGGGGAGGAATAGTGCCCCATCATTGGTGTCAGTGGGAGGAATAATGCCCCATCATTAGTATCAGCGACACCAATGATGGGGCACTATTCTTCCCACTGACACCAATGACACTTAACTTGCTGACCCCTGTTCCAGCATGGTGCTGCTGCAGCCAGCATACCTGGTTGCAACAGCACCATCTGCAGGGCACTCTTACCTGTCAGCTGTCCTTCTTCACTCCGGCCTCTCCCTCACTCGATGTTCGTGGGGCAGCTCGGCTCCACCTCCTCGCAGGTGATTGGCTGCCTGTGTGCCTTTCCTGAGCTACAGTTCTAGCGCCCAATCACCGGTGAGGAGGTGGAGCCGAGCGGCAGGAGTGAGGGAGTGGCCGGAGTGAATGAAGGAGCAGCGCTTCCAAGACTGGATCGTCGTGGGACTGGGACCGGAGCCAGGTAAGGTACAGCAGCCCCCTGCCCGCCCCTGTACTTAGTGTCCCTTCCTCGCAGAAAATATGCCCCTACCGGCGGGCCGGATAAATGGCCTCGGCGGGCCGCATGTGGCCCGCGGGCCATAGTTTTGAAGACCCCTGGCTTAAAATTTAAAGTCCTGAGCTACTAGCCAGGCCTTAAGAGTTACTAACCACCAACAAACACACACAGAGACACCTGTACACACACACACATGTACATACACATAGAGACACATGTACACACACGCACATACAGACACATGTATACAAACACAGGCATGTACAGACACACATACACACAGATACATGTACATATACACAGAAAAACACATGCACAGACACATGTACATACATACACGGACACATGTACACACAGACACATGTACATACATACACAGACACATGTACACACAGACACATGTACATACATACACACGCATACATGTACATACACACACATGTACATACACACAGACACATGTACATACACATACACCCCTATAAAAAGTTGCAGTACTTCGTTGTTCACTCACAGAGCCAGGTACTGCATTCTAGGGGGAGGCAGAGAGCACAGCACACACTCCTTGCTTTGCTTTCACTGCGCTCAGCTATTGAGCAGTCCGACGGCTCCCAGTGCCAGTGACAGATCCGGCCTGGGCTCCGAGCCTGCTCAGCAAGATGGCCATGGGGGACACACTCCCCCCCCCACCATAATTTCCACTCGCCATTGGCGAGCAGGCGAGTGGAAATTTCAAGGCCTGTTCTAGTTTTTATGCATTTCAGTTCTCCCCCCCTCTCTTTTTCTTCAATTCAAATAGGGACATGTGCATTCCAGTGTGTTTTTGGTATGTTCTGGTGCGCTTATGATGCGTTACAGTTCTGTGCACAAAAAATTCAGCATGTTCTACTTTATTCTGTGCAATTGGAACACACTGGAACTGCAAGCGCTGATCTGAAATATGACATTGACAACCATATAACCTACTTTCTGTGCATTTTGGATGCAAAAAAAGCAACTAAAATGCATGTAGTGTGAACTCGCCCTTAAGGCCAGTTCACACTATAGAAATGCAGTACAGAGGCATTTCCACATGAGTGTTTTTGATGCATTCCGGTGCGTTTTTTATGCTTTCCAGTTCATTTTTCCCCCTCTCTTTTCCTTCAATCTAAATAGGGACATGTGCCTTCCAGTGCGTTTTTGGTGTGTTCCTGTGCATTTATGATGTGTTTTTTACCATGTTCCAGTACAGGTCTGTGCAGGAAAAATGTAGCATGTTCTAATTTTTTTTTCTGCAACCGGAATGCACTGGAATGGCAAGCACTGATGTGAACTATGACATTGACAACCATATAACCTACTTTCTGTTCATTTTGGATGCAGAAAAAAAGCAATGGAAACGCATGTAGTGTGAACTTGGATTGTACCTGCATGTCTGATCGCCCGCTAATGGCTATGAGCAGACTTTTTCACATATTCTTCTACAGTGACTTAATTAAATAAAATAGAAGTCATGTTACAAAGGGTGTGAATCAAGAGGCACAATATTTAAACATAAAAATGGTTCACAGCATCCACAAAAACACAGTTGCCACTCTAATAACGTATTGTTCTGGTTAAACAAGCAGATCAATTGCCAGCAGAGTATAACATTTCTTTCTAAGTAGCAAAACGCTTTAAGTATGTATAAGCCTTGTTACTGAAAACAGAGACGTCGCATTCAAAACATCAGAAGCAAGATAAATGCATTTCAGGGACTGGCACCAAAACGCATCCACGGGAGGGATTGGCACTGCAATTCTAGTCAGCCTTGCATCCTGATTAATGTTTTATACTCTTTTGCAAAGTGCATGAACAGATGTGCATCTCAGGGGATTGTACCTGACTTCTTCATAGAGATCCAGAGAGGAACCTAATTGTCCTTAATCCTCTGTGTAAAATAGGTTAGAGCAAATCCTCTTTCCACATCGGCTGGGGGATTAGTCAGCACCACCAGTAAATAAAACCACTACTTTGTCAGAGCATTGCTAGACAGGTATATCGAAAAAACTAACCGTAAGAGTAAGCAGAAAATGGACCACTAACTCAATTAACTTTCACATTATTGATATTCTAATTTTAGGACACCATAGAAACATTCATCCGTCGTGACTAGAGAGAGCTTCCTGCTTAAACAGCAATTTTAGGTTATGCAAGCACAGTAATAAGATATTAAGTGACTTTTCATCCTTACACTCTATAGACTGACATCACTCTCCTGCTCTATATACTAAAGCTGCTAATACAAAGGCTTCAGGAACTACAGAGCCCTTTAATAAGGTGTCAGTACAAATACCAATAGTACATTTACTAACATGTATTTGCTTAGTTACTATTCTTCAGACATAATACATTT